CTCCCTGGAGAAAGGCTGCATTGCAGGACTAAGGCTATGAAAGTACAAGAGAAGATAACCTGGCATATACCCCAACAAAGTAGGCACTCAGGGAATGAAGGAAACATCAAAAGTATATAGGTACCATGTTGAAGGGCCGCCTCTCACCAACTTTAGGACAATCTGAGTATCAGAATGACCAATGAGTTACAATCCCTTCAATAAAACTCTCAGCACTCATATATAGAGATATAAATAAGTAAACAACTGAGACAGAAGGGAAAGCTCTACATTACAATAAAATGTCAGCATTTAATAAATAAGTATAAAGTGCATATTCATTAACTTCATGGTGGAAAAAAGTAACATATGTTATTTTAACCAAATAATAGAGCTGACACCACCAATGAAAGACAGATTGGGTTATTGTGCATGGAGAAGAACAAAGAATAACATCCATCTTATTTCTTTCCAAAGTTGTATCTACTTATGAGAAAATATCAGACAAATCCAAATTGAGAGGTATTCTAAAAAATAATGGGTCTACTTTCTTGGAAGATGTGATGGTTAGCCTTAATTGTCAACATGACACAACATAGAACCACCTGGAAAGAAAGTCTCAATGAAGGATTGTTTACATTTGGTTGGTTGTGGGTATATCTGAGGGACTGTCTTAAGTTAATTGATGTGAGAAGATCCTCATTGTGGGCAACACCATTCCCTAGGAGGGGTGGAGTCCTGAACTATATAAGAGTGGAGAAATTGGGGGCTGGAGAGATGGCTCAGTGATTAAGAGCACTGACTACTCTGGTAGAGGACCCAGGATTGATTCCCATATGGCAGCTAACAACCATCTATAACATCCAGGGAATCTGATGCCCTCATCTGATCTCTGTGGGCATTGCACAACCTGGGTGTACTTACATACATGCAGGCAATAGACTCATACACAAAAATTAAAATTATAAATAAAATTATTTTTTAAAAAAGAGTGGAGAGATTGAACTGAGCACAAGCAAGCAAGACCATGTGCATTTACTTCTCTCTGCTCTTGACTGGATGTGATTAGCTATTTGAAGTTCCTGCCTTATCTTCCCTACAATGATGGACTGTAACCTAGAATTGTAAGCTGAAATAAACCCTTTTCTCCCCAAGTGCATTTGTCAGAGTACTTAATTACAGCAACAGAAAGGAAGCTAGAACACATGTCAAGAGAGCAAAGGATAAGGAAATGCTGAGAAACTGTACCAGATTAAAGAACACGAAGGCGGTAAGACACCACACACGCGATCGACCTTGGATTCATAAAGCATATAAGTGGCCCAATCAATGAAATTTGAATAAAATATATAGTCTAAGAATTAATATTTTATCAGTGTTAATTTTTAAATTTTTGTGACTGTATAATGGCTTTGTAGTCTTTAGGAATTATGCACTGAAGCATGAAGCAGGTGTGATGAATTAGGAAGTGCACATGTTCTTTGACACTCTTCCCATTGAGAGTTGGGCTGTCCTTTAATCCTTGTGGATGTTTCGATCAGCAGTGTGGTGGAAATGTGACCATGGTAGCTCCAGGATTACTCTGTAAAAGGAGTGGCAGCTCCTACCTTGGCCGCTTGGTGACTTAGGAGATTTGGCCACTTTGTTGGACCTTGAGCCTGGAAAGAGGGAGGAAGACGTATCATTGAAACCAACCTTGAAAACTTCCCTACTGTGATGTCAGGCATGACTCCTGGCCCCTCCTGGAATACCACTGAGTGACCCAAATCAATACTTCGTGGAACCTACAAATATCTTGCCCTACCTTGCCTGAATTTCTGACCCACAAAATCTTGAAATGTAATTAAATTATCATTGCTTCAAGCTAAGGCGGATGAGGGTAGTTTGTTAAATAACTAGAGCAAGTTGGTACTAAAAAGGAATGTTGGTATAATAAAATTTTTAAAACTTTTTTAAAATTTATTTTTATTCTATACATCTGAGTGTTTTGCATATATGTTTGTAAGTACATCACATGCATGTAACACCTGTGGAGGGCAGAAGAGGGTGTCAGGTCTCCTTGAACTGCTGTTTGGGACAGTTGTTAGCTGATATGTGGGTGCTGGGAACCAAATCTAAGTCTTCTGACAGTGCTCTTAACTGCTGAACCATCTCTTCAGCCCCATAATGAAAAATTTAATATGTAGCATTGACTTTTATCTGGGTGGCAGACTGAAGCCTGAAAGTCTTCACAAGGACTATTAGTGAAATCTGGAAGGGCTCCTAAGAGACTGCTGATGAGAGTTAGCAGAGCCATAGGGGCTATTATTGTAGTCTGAATTCAAGGGCACCCAAGTCATGTCTTGGCAGAATAGTTGTTGAGACTGTTTGCCTTCAGGGGATGTGAAAGCAGAAGGTGCACAAATGGTGTGGTGAATCTGGCTAAAGAACTCTCTAGACAGAATGTTGACATTGCCAACTGGATTCTTCTGGTAGTTTATAATAATGTATGAGAAGAGAGAGGTGAATGACAGGTGAAACTGCTTCATTTCCAAGAATGCCTTGGAAGAGACATAGAGTATGCTCAGGACAGTGTTTCCAGCAATTGAGTTTCTCACAAAAACAATTCAAGTACAACATGGCCTCAAAGTAAAACTCTCAAGGGTGTGGCTTAAAATATCAAGTTGAGGCTTTAGAAAGATTTAAGGGAACGCCAAGAACAGTTCTTTAACTGTAAAGGTGCATCTCTTTGACTCTCTCCACTAAACAAGAGAGCCTGTAAGTCTTAAGAGTACACCCAGGGCACAATGCTTTTAAGCATGTCAGCAGTATTATATCATAGTGCCCTGATTTTCCAAGCAGGACCTGTCTTGGAAAGAAATATGGATGTAACTTTTGTGTACCAAAGTGAATTCTAATAAAATTCTCAGAGATTTTCAGATAATTTTGTCAGTAGAAAAACTGCTTTTTTGGGTTAAAAGGAATAGAGACAATACAAAGCAAATACATATTGTTATGGTTTGAATTAAGAAATGTTTCCTGGGGGCTAGAGAGACGGCTCGGCAGTTAAGAGCGCTGGCTGCTCTTGTGGAGGACCCGGGATTTGATTTCCAGCACCACATGGTGGCTAACAACCATCTGTAACTCCAGTTCCAGGGTATTCAACATCCTCTTCTGACCTCTGCGGGCATTGCACAACATGGGTGCACCCCACCTACATGTAGGCATTACACTCATACAGAGAGAGAGAGAGAGAGAGAGAGAGAGAGAGAGAGAGAGAGAGAGAGAGAGGTTTCCTGAGGGCTTACCTTTTAAAGAGTTGGTTGGCAGCTGGTAAGTTTTTAGATAATTGGATAATGAAGGCTCCAACTTCACCAATGGATTCACCCACTGATGAAGTCATAGCTGAATGGAGACTATGAGGTTAAAGGAAGGAGGTCATGTTGCAGGGCATGACTTTGCAGAGTATATATTATGTATTTGAAGAGTATATAGTTTCTATTATTCCTGGCCCCTTCCACATGTGCTCTCTCTACTTCCTGATTGCCATGAGGAGAGCAGCTTTTCCCCCATCATTCCCTAACCTCATGATACTTAAACCTCACCTTAGGCCCACAGCAATAGGAAACAACTAACTATGGATTAAAACCTTTGAATCCATGAGCCAAAAAAAATCCTCTTTTTAAATATTTTATTTATTATTTTTATTTTATGTGTATGTATGTATTGCTTGCACATAGGTAAGTGCACCCATGTCATGCAATGCCCACGGACAGAAGAGGCCAATGGATCCCCTGGAACTGGAGTTACAGACAGTTGTTAGCTGCCTTGTGGGTGCTGGGATTTGAACCCCGTGTCTTCTACGAGAACAGCTGGTGTTATTAACCGCTGAGCCATCTCTCCAGCCCCCAATATTTCCTCTTTTAAGTTGATTTGCTTAGGCATTTTTGTCAAGGTAATGAAAAGCAAGCTAATACAGATATTTTGGATTCCTGTATCAGTCTTCTATTATTGTTTAAATAATGACAAATTTTGTGGCTTATAATAACCCTCATTTGTTACCTTACAAATGTAAGGAGTTCAGAAGTCTGAAGTGATGTGTTAGGTACTTTTCTCATCACTGTGACCAAGTATCTGACAGAGGAAACTTAAAGGAGAAAGGATTTATTTTTGGCTCATGTGAACCACGTGGCACTGCTCATATCACCCAGCAGACACGAGGCAGAGCGGAAGGCAATAACCCTTAAGGCTCCCCACATAGTGGCCAGCATTAGCCCTACTTTCCACAATCTCGGGAAAACAGTGCCACCAGCTGGAGACCGGCCACTATTCAAGCACATCGGCCCAGCCCGTGGAGAACATTTCACATTCAACCCGTAAAAAGATTTCACTGCATTAAACTCAGGGCGTCAGGAGGTATCTGTTGGTTCTGCAGACTAGGAAAGAATCTGCCCTCTAGCCCGTTCAAGCTTCTTGAAGCTTCCTACAATCCCGGACTCACAGAATCCATCTTTTTCAGTTAGCAACACAGCATCTGCAAGTCTCTGACTCGGCTTTCATTGTCCTGTATCTTTCCCTGCCTTGTTATTGCTCCGTTATTGCTCCGAGCCCACCTAGATAATTCAGGATAATCTAATGTCAAGAGCCGATTAGACACACACATGCGCTCTGTGAAGCCCTCTGCCCATTGCAGAGGAGCAATGGGTTATTCATACAACGTTTTTGTGTTTTTTACACCTCCATCCCCTCTTGTGAGTGAGAGGTTGGATCTGCTGTTTCTGAATGCCCAGCACAGCAACATGGATGCTAATAAATGCTTGTTGGATGACTGAATGAACGAACAGCTGTCTGGGAAATAAAGTAAGGGTGGGGAGGGGCCGAGGAGCCCAAGCAGGCTATAACCATACTTTTGTTCTGACGTTGTGTAGTGACTTAACACTCAGGGTTGTCGATTCCGAGAGTCCGGTGCTCCTTCCAGCCGGCTCAGCCGTGCAGTCGGCCCCCCTCCGCGGCGGGGCGGGGCAGGGCGGGGCAGGGCGGCGCTAGGCGCCGGGGCGGGGTCGGGCGGCGGGAGCTCGGAGGGGACGCGGAGCCCCGCGATGGGCCCGGGCGCGCTGCTGGCGCTCCTGGCGCTGCTGGAGCTCCGGGAGGGGGACCCCGCGGTGGCCGCGGCGCGCGAGGACACGTTCTCGGCGCTGACCAGCGTAGCCCGCGCCCTGGCGCCGGAGCGCCGGCTGCTGGGGATGCTGCGGCGCTACCTGCGCGGGGAGGAGGCTCGGCTGCGGGACCTGACCAGGTGAGCGCGGCCGGCAGTGATACTGGAAGATGGTGGGTGTAGATGATGCTCTCCCCTGCGCTCGGCTTGGCCTGTGGGGTGGGTTGTTGTGAAACACTGTGCAGCTTAGTGAACAGATGTTTAGTATGAGTTGGGTGACATTCTGTGACCATGTACAAGGTTTGCACATCCAGTGGGACTGGATGTGGGCCGCCACACTTGTAAAATAAAAGATCAAGCATTTGTGTAGGTCATTGTGTATTCATTCATTAATGCTTCCTTCATTCTTGCAACACATTTGTTGGATGCTTACTATGAGCCAGGCACTGTACCAGGAGCTGCGGATAACTGAACAGAACCCAAGAGTTTGGTTCTGTAGCATCATGGTTGTTCAACTCTCCCTTCTTTTTACACAGGTAAAACACTCTAAGCAGTAAGCAATAACCAAGAGGTTGTGTGTGTGTGTGTGTGTGTGTGTGTGTGTGTCTGTGTGTGTGTGTGAAAATGCTTGACACAGAGAAAACACTGTGAAAAGCCACTTAATGCTAAACAATACTGAGGATACCATGCAGAAATGCACAGCCAATATAATTTTACTATGCAATCAACAAACTAATATTACACACTGTGAGGAACACTGTTGTAAGGCGTGGGACATTAGGGCACTAATAAGTGTCAAAGGATGACAGAGGAATGATGTATGTGATACCACATGTATAGTCATGTTTTGTGCCATCTTTGCTTTAGTACTTACAATATATAATGCTATTGATTCTGGGGTAGCATGGGAAAAACGTGAGTGGGACACTGTGAGAGATCATGTGGAATAGAATCCGTTTGGGTGTAGAAATGTGTGTGAGAGCTTTGTCATTGTAGAGTGACTTACAAAAACATCATCTCATTTCTCACACATAATGCCTTGAAATGTGCTGGTATTGCCCTCTTAACACAGGAGAAATCACTTGAACTATGAGAGAACTAAAGTCTAGTAAATTACCCAAGATTATAAATACAGGCGATAGCAGACCTGGGCCTAGGACATAGTTATTTTGATTAGTTTCTAAGGTCTGTTCCATCATGTTCTGATGTCCCTCCTTGTTTATCTGTTATACCAAGACAGAGAGACCCACAACTACTTGAGGTCTTGTCAGTGGCCAGAGTATATACTGATTCAGAGTCTAGTTTCAGGAACTCAACAGACCTCTGTTTAAATTCTTGACTCTGACCTTGGGCAAGTTTTCTTTTCTTTTCAAGCTCTAGTTTTCTATCTATACAATAGTGACACTTAAACATGACACTTATCCATATAGGGTTGTTGGAAGGACTGAGTCCCAAGTAAAGATATTGATCATTGTTCATGGCTTGTAATCATTGCTGAACAAATGTTCATCTTTATGATAATTGTTTAAGACTGGCTGACTGTGTGTAATCTCATCACTGGGGAAACTGAGGCAGGAGGATTGTCATAAATTTGAGACCAGCCTGGGCAAAAAAATAAGTTAAATTTTAAAATCCTGGTTGGTGAAGTGCCTAGTCCTGTTGGTTCTAAGCACCAAGTGGGATGCTAAAAGATTGAAAAAGAATCAGAAAAATTCTATCTTCTTTTCTCAGATGAGTTATGAACATTTAATTTTGTAAAGTTTAATTCAATGTTTTAGAGACATAATTCTGCTGCCTAGCCATGCTCTAAAACCCAATGGAATGTTTGCTTTTTAAAACAAAAATTTTGGCCGTTTCTGCTCATTTTTCTATATTCTCAATCTGGTGATTTTATGTAACTTGAGATGTTATTTCTGAGGCCCTCAGTTTATAGTCTTTGAATTTCCAAATGAGGAAACAAAGTATTTTTGGATGTTGAAACTGCCCCCTACCCACTAATGAATACAAAGTAAGCTAATTAGAGTATCCAGGGTTATATACTAGCATAATGTAAACTCATCATGCCTGTGAAGCTAATCTCTAGCTTATTTTGTTACTGCTGCTTAAAAACTACAAAGAGTGAAAGAGTAGAATTATTCCTAGGTTCAGAATTAAGCATTCAGAATGTCTCAGGAGGAATAGTGAGACAAAGCCATTTCTCAATTTCAAAGGAGAAACATATTGAATTGACATGCCATGCATGTATTGTGGTTGAATAACCTACCTAGCTCTGTTTAATGCCAGGATTGGGTTGCAAATTTTATGTGCAGATTTTTGAAGAGAGGGATCTGACTTTCCACTCTCGGCAGCATTTGTTAAAGCAAAACACCATTTGGGAAACCCTGAGGTTTGTCTTCAGCATCCCGTAACCTAGTCTGGAATGGAGTTATTTGCTCAGAGACTGGGCAGACAGCCAAGTTTTGCATTCCAAACCAGCCTCAGATATCAGCGATAGATCCCCCCCCACTTTTTTTTCTTTGTATGGAAGGAAAATAAAATGCCATATTTAACCACGTCATTGGATTGATGTGCTGCAGTAGAGACCAAACTCATGGCCTAAAACAAATCAGAATGCAAATCAGAATGTACAAGGAGAACAGAGTAAGGACAGTGTTTTGGATCTGATGGATGATTTGGAACAGACATTCGCCTCTGTGCCTCACATCTTTCCCTTTGTGCCTCCGTTTGCTCTGGTGCTTACCAAGCATTAGTCCTTAAGCTAATAAGGAATCTATTCTGCCCTGAAAAGCTGAGGGAGGAAATAGCAGAATACCCATAGTGAAAGGACACAGAGACATCTTCTAGACATCTTCTTCGACCTTACAGAGCTAAGAGGTGGTTGGAGCCAAGGTCAGAATCACTTAGGTCTCCCCCCAGCTCCTCCCTGTCCAACTGTCTTATAAAAATCACTGTGCACTCAGTCTCAGTTGTTCCTGGACACTTACTTTTAAAGCTGGATTTGGCTCAGGTCTCTGCTTGTATGGTTTTTTTTTTTTTTTTTTTTTTTGTCTAGCAGTTCACTAAGTGGTTCCATATGGAGCCCAAGCAGGAAATAATGGGCAGTAAAAAGATCCCACACCCTGAAGTCTGGTTTGGTTTTGAATCTCTGGAGTAGTAACTTCAAGCAGCCCTGTATTTGGGATAAGAGACACCCTGGGACCATGTCCTGCCTGGGTGACCCATGCCCAGATTCCTGTTCCTTGGTTTATATTGAACATTTGGCCTTTACTCCTCCTTCACATCCCCTATTCACCAGTGAAGGACTTTCTTTTCTCCCTTCAGATAAGTTACGCAATTTTGGAGTCATTGAGATAGACCCACTGAAGGGGTACCCCAATTGCTTCACCCTGCGTCCCTGCTCAGCATGGAAGAAGCCAGAACGGTCTGCGTCCCTATTCCCTATTGGCAATTTGGGTAACCTCTTCAGAGGGTGGTGTGATAAGTATAGGAGGTAAGAATTGGCTAGGCAGTAAGAGTAAAAAAGACTCCAAAGACAAGTAGCCAGTTTCTTGGTTAAAAGTCAAAATGTCCTTGGGCCTCTTAGCAACATACTATGGTCCAAAGGCCAAAAAGGTCAAAAGTATTTGGGAGCTTTTATCTAATCCCTAAAAGATTTTTAGGGTTACCTCTTCAGAGAGGGGAATGTTAGAGTAGCAAAAAGCCCCATTTAAAGAAAAGAAAGAAAGAAAGAAAAGAAAGAAAGAAAGTCAGAAAAAAGTGATGGGGAGATATGGGAGGAGTTGGAGGGGAGAGAGTGGGCATGGATTTGATCAAGACACCTTATACGCATGTATGAAATTCTCAATAAAGTCTTTTTTTTAAAGTTAAAAAAAAGGAGTAAGCATAGCATACTGGGAAAGGAAAAGCATTCTTTGCCTTTATGAGCACTCTAGTAGGACATCCAGGAATAAATTAAGTAGGAAGATGATCATCTTAGGTTCAACCACTTCTAACTTTTTCTGCAAATGCCACCAAGCTGAAGAGTAGAATCAAACAACCTCACTCTCTGTTCCTGCTGTGATCGTCACCTCCTTCGATGCTGCTTCCTAAACATCTCCCTTGTATCCACTGCATTCTCTGCCCTGTGGTCCCTGTGACATTTTAAATTCTCATCTCTTGCTGACAGTGCTGCAGTGACCTCCCCTCAGTCTTCCTGCTTCCAGTTCCTTCCATTTTTGAATTCACTCACCCATACTCTCACAAAATCATATGTGCAAACAAATCCTAGCAAGTCCACTTTCTCTCACTATGGCCAAATCAGCTGCCCCTCACTCTCCTCCAAGTCTTATTCTTCAATCTGGTGCTGCAGCTATAATATGTGGCTTACCCACTGGGACCAAGGTCATTGTCTTATTCCTGGGTTCCTAGAAACATATATTTCATTCATTATCTCACAGAGATATGTATTAAAGCCTCTGGTAGTGGCACATGCTTGTAACTCCAGCTATTTAGGGTCAAGAGGCTCACAAGTTCAAGGCTTGCCTGGGCTACAGAGTAAGTTCAAGACCAGCCTGGGTAACTTAATGAAGACCTGTATCAAAATAAAAGGAATCCTGGGGATGCAGTCCAATGGTAGAGTGCTTGCCTAGCATGCACAGGACCATAGGTTCAATCCCCGGGACTACACATTCACACACACACACACACACACACACACACACACACACACACACACACACGCACACATGGAGGAGGGTGTGCGTAGCGCGCACACGCCCATATGTTCACACCCCGGGACTACACACTCACACACACACACACACACACACACACACACACACACACACACGCACACACACACACACACGTATTGAACTAGGGGGCTGGA